GTTGACTTTCAATTGGACCAAACTTGACAGCATAAAGGTTGGTGTTGGTGCAGAGAATGGAGAGGCACTGCTGCAGCAGCAGCCGCGCCTCCTGCAGCTGCCCGCGCAGCTCCCCCGCTGCAGCAGCAGCAGCAGCAGCAACAGCAGCTTCGTTCAGCTCCTGCACCTGCCGCAGCAAATGAAATAAATGCTCCACTGAAGTTGCTGCTCCGCCCCGCGTCCGTTGCCGCTTCAAGTCCGACTCCAGCCGGTCCACCCGCCGCCGCGTGTCCTGCGCGCAGCCCAACCCCCTGGCTAGCCAGCTAGCTAGCTAGCTAGCTAGCTGGCTAGCTAGCTGGCTAGCTAGCTAGCTAGCTGGCTGGCTGGCTGGCTGGCTGGCTGCTGGCTAGCTAGCTGGGGGATAGCGAGCTGGCTAGCTCGCGAGCCAGCTGGGGGATAGCGAGCTGGCTAGCTGGCTAGCTAGCTAGCTAGCTAGCTGGGTGCTGACTAGCTAGCTGGCTAGCTGGGCGGTAGCTAGCTAGCTAGTTGGGCGGCGAGCTAGCTGGGTGGTAGCTAGATAGCTAGCTAACTGGGTACCAGCTAGCTAGCCAGCTGGATGCTAGCTAGCTAGCTAGATGGGTGGTAGTAGCTAGCTAGCTGGGTGCTAGCTAGCTAGCCAGCTAGCTGGGTGGGTGGTAGCTAGCTAGCTGGGCGGTAGCTAGCTAGGTAGCTATATGGTATCCAGCTAGCTGGGTGGTAGCTTGCTAGCTAGCTAGCTAGCTGGGTGGTTGCTAGCTGGGTGGCTAGCTAGCGAGCTAGCTAGCTAGCTACTTGGGTGGTAGCTAGCTGGGAGTAAAGAGGGTTAAGGGTTTTGAGAAGGGTTTAGGTCTAATACACCCACATCTAGGGTTTAGGGTTTAGGGTTTGCAAAAAACGCCTTTTACTTGCAACTAGCGCCTTTACCCATCCCAACCCCCCGAGCCAGGCCTGAGGGTTTATCACCCCCGAGGGTTTAGCGTTTAGGACTCAGGGTTTAGGGTTTAGGGTTTACCAGCCAGCCAAGAAAAGTTTGCCTCAAATGGATTTCCGCTGCGTAGCGGCCCAAGAAGAGGAAAAGAGACAAGACGAAATATGTCACCACTCTGATTATCCTGAAACAAAAATAAATAAATAAATAAATAAATAAATAAATAAATAAATAATAAATAAACAAAGGATTAATTAATTAATTTTAAATAAATAAATGGGCATATAGATAGTGGTGATTGGGGATGGAGGGGTTGATAAAGTAAAGAATGAATTAAAAGTAATCAAATTCAATAAATTGAAACAATTAAATAAAACAAATACATTGAATTAGATTAAATTAAATTAAATCAAATTAAATTAAATTTAAAGAAAAGAAATAAAATACTTAAATAAAACTAACAGGTCAAGTAGGCCACCAAACTAAGTCAAACAAACTCAAATAAACGGACTTGAACGAATTAAAAAAAATAAAAAAGAGAAATAAAAAGAAATAAAAAGAAATAAAAAGAAATAAAGAAGAAATAAAAAGAATTTGAAGAAATCAGGGAAATTAAAAAGAATAAAAGAATAAAAGAAGAATTAAAATGGAATAAAAAACAAAAAAACAGAATCAACTTTTGCATCTTTCTCTGCATTCTGTAATCACCAGCCAAAAAACCCAAAACTGAAAAAAACAAATTAAATCAAATCAAACACAAAACAATTAAACCAAATCAACCAAATTGGAGTAATTAATTAATTAAATTAATTAAATTAACTAAATTAAATTAATTAAGTTAATTAAATAAATTAAACTAAATTAATTAAATTAATTTAATTTAATTAATTAAACTTACACGAAAGAAGGCGCAATAAAACGGGGGTTTAAAACGCCCCGGACAATTATTGTGGCGGCACTTGTCCCCAAAAAGGAAAGATGAGTTACCCACGAGTATTTTGTCCTAAATAAATAAATAAATAAATAAATAAATAAATAAATAAATAAATAAATAAATAAATAAATAAATCATTTATTTATTTATTTATTTGCTTGTTTATTTGATTAAGGATTTTTTAGAGCCAAGTTTCAGAAGTTTAGGATTCAAATTCATCGAATTAGAAACAAACCAAAAAAAAATATTCTTAAGAAAGATTATTTTAGAAAGATATTTTTAAAAATATATTCTTAGTGATTTAAATGGTTTAGCTAAATTGAATAAAATGTTTTAATAGAAGACAATTAAAGTGAATAAAGATATCAAAATAAATAAATAAAACGTTTGAAAAGAAACAATCAAATAGAATAAAGAGTTTGAAAAGAAATAATAAAATAAAATAAAAGCATTTAAACTTGAATAAGTAATAAAGATTTCAATAAATAAATTACAAACAAATCAAATTGAAACTTTGAATGCCAAAAACAATAAAAGCATCAAACTAAATAAAACAAAATTATAAAACATCAAATTAAACCAAACAAATCCCAAAAAGATGCAATTAAACAAAACAAACAAAAACTCAAATCAAACAAAACAGAACAAACAAAAACTCAAATAAAACCAAACAAACTCAACCAACCAACCAACAACCAACCAACCAAACAATAAATAAATAACAAATAAAAAAACAAGTAAGTAACAAATAAACAAACAACAAATAAATAACAAACAAATGACAAATAAATAACAAATAAATGGCAAATAAACAGTAAACAAATAGTAAACAAAAACAAAAAACTAAACGACAAATAGTAAACAAATACCAAATAAACGACAAACAGTAAATAACTAATAAATATATAATAAATAAATAATAAATAAATAAATAACAAAAAGGCACCTCGAAGGCAGCACAACGTCGAGAATAACAACAGGCAAAAAGCCAAAAAGATAAGAAAGAGCTGTGCAGGCTTCCAAAGCTGTGTTTTCTTCTGTCGACAAAAAGTCTCCTTCTTCTCTGTTTTCCTCCAGTCTGTAGCTCGCCACGCTGTTCCACACGCCCCACATCGTCACCAGCTGCAGCAGCAGCAGCAGCAGCAGCAGCAGCAGCAGCAGCAGCAGCGGCGGCGGGGGAGCAGCAGGCCGTGAGTCCAGGTCCCGCAGCAGGAGCCAGCAACCGCGTGCAGCAGCAGCAGCAGCAGCAGCAGCAGCGGGGAGCGGCGCAGCAGAAGCAGAGGAAACAAAAGCAGCAGCAGCAGCAGCAGCAGCAGCAGCAGCAGCAGCAGCAGCAGCAGCAGCAGCAGGACAGTGTCCCGGGCAGATCCCGCCCGCGCCCTAAAACGCACCCAACCCCGCCCGCAGCCCCCAAACCCCAAACCCCAAACCCCAAACCCCAAACCCCAAACCCTAAACCCTAAACCCTAAACCCTGCGGACGAGGAAGGCGGCGGCGTTGGTGAGGTGCTCGGCGAGGGTTTTGGCAGCAGGCAGGCAAGCAGCAGCAGCAAGCGCGACGGAAGCAAGAAGGGTTATTGCCATTGCTGCATTAAACATAATTCCAATTGAGTTGGAATGATTAAAAGCTTGCTGCTGGTCGAAGCTCCAGGCGAGCAGCGGCCACATGGCCAGCGTCAGCAGCAGCAGCAGCAAACCCATTGGCAGCAGCCGCAGCTGCAGCCACAAGTTCACGTTCAGAGCAAACAAGTCTTCCAGTTCTTTGCTGCTGAAGGCCAGCGGGAAGGGCTGCAGCAGCTGCTCTGCTGCTGCTGCTGTGGGGCCCCGCAGGCTCGCGCTGCTCAGCGTGCTGCTGCGGCTCGCCAGCCGCCCCTGCCGCTGCTGCTGCTGCTGCTGCTGCTGC